TATCCTTTTCGTTTAACTGTAGTTTAAAAAAACTAAAAAGGCAAGTAATAAGTTCTACCAAACAAAGGCTGCGTAGAAACAAGCTAGATCAGCTACGTGGTTATTAATTTCTTTGGATACAGGAGTGTATTATGTTCAAGTTTTTAAAGAATTAACCGGGCTTTCATTATCTTTCACTATTTTAGCACAGTTCCGAAAGATTCACAAGATTTGCTATTCTTTTCCTCGCATTTTAGGTTGCTACAGAATTTTCAGAAAATGCTTTTGACATCGACCCCCACTGCTGAAGTATATTGTCTCATCTAAGTTTTGTAGCTCAGTGCTTTTGTTTGTTTTGAATTTCGGTGTACATTTTTTCATTATTCTCATTTACAGCTAAACTTAGTAAATGTAAAACATCAACATTACTCCAATTGGCATCACAACTGGATACTGTTCTGTTTGACTCGTGTTTCAATTGATGTTAAAGCATTGAATTATGTATTCTGTTGGAGTAATACGTTCATTATTTTCCTGGCTTCCAGCTGAATTAACTTGAAAACTTTATCCTTGCAGATCAAAACCTCTGCTCAGTTGGACGTTGTGTTCGGGTTTCTCATGTCCAATGCTTCTGAGACTTTGAAGGTCAATGAATTTGCGGAAGCTTGTGGTGTTGGTATGAAAACAACTTATGTTATTTTTGTCAAGCCTCTGCATTATTATTCTTTTTACAGACTAAAGATTTCCTGAGAAATGAGAAACAAAATACCTACTTATTACTCCATTTCTCCATTATAAGGTCCAGTTACCTTGATTTAGTTATCCAACCCACAATTACTTGTAGTTCATCTTTATAGTGCTTGTTATATTCTTTGGAAATATTTCATATCTGAAAATTTGAACAGGAGTTGAAGTGTCCATGGAAGACATAGAGCTCATTGTTGATGATATTTTTGTAGAAAACAAGCCTAAGATTTTGGAGCTGCAGTATATAATAAATGGTTTGTATTTCTTGTTGTGATAATACCATATGCGAAGTAGTGCAGGATGCAGCAATATGCTTACTTATGCAATTTCATAAACACCTACCATGTTTTATAATAATAGTAGAATGGAATGACAATTAAACTACCTTGTTCATTAATCTGTTACGTACATGATTTGTAGTTTTGTACTATGTAAATGAGGAGAGGGCAATGACCTAGCCAAGGTTGGTAAGTTAGTTATTGTTATATTTCATAAAATAAGTGCGACGAAGGTTATTTCTCCCCTGAAAATTTCATTTCCTTAATCTTGTTTTTTTTAATAAAAAAATAATAGTAAACACCCTCCCCATGATGGAGCTGAATAAACTCTTGTCTTTCAATCTCGTCTCGAATCTTCCTCCATATTTATTTGTTTATTTATTTATTCGCCTACTTACTTCTTAAGCTATAAAGCTTACCTTTTGGACCTGAGAGATACTGTTGCAGTAACTTCAGCTGATATCCATGGTGCAACTGCTTATGGAGTTTCTGGAACCCCTGTGGACTGTGTCTCTTTGGCACTATCTGGTGCACTATTTTCATGGCCAAAACCTCTATTGGTAATTAGTGGAATCAACTGGGGTTTAAGCTGTGGCCATCACATGTTTTACTCGGGTGTTGTAGCAGGGGCTAGGGAGGCATTGTATAATGGTGCTCCTTCCATATCAATATCTCTTAACTAGAAGAGCAATGAAAGCCAGGACAGTTATTTCGAGGGCACTGGAAGTGTTTGTTTGCCTTTGATCTCTGCAGCTATTAGGGATAAAGAGAACGGTGCTTTTCCCAAAGGTTGTTTGCTTAATTTGGAAGTTCCAACTGATCCGCTTACAAACAAGGGATTCAAGTTAACCAAGTAGAGTGTATGGAGAATTGGAGATCCACACTTAACTGGAACGATGTTCCAGCTAACAGGAATGTTGCTGCATCACAGTTTCTTTCCAACCAGCAAAGTCTTCGCTTTCAACTTGCACAGCTTGGTTGCGATGCATTTGCTGGTGGTGGTGCACGCCGTTTTACCACACAAAGGAATAATATAGAGGTTGTTCAGTCAGTTGGTGTTGCTGGAAAGTCTGATCCCAATGGAACCGTCAAATACTTCATATTGGAGTTGCTTGAGAAGAAGCACTAAGAAGAGGATGAGGATTTAGATTTAAGATTTCCTAGCACTTGAAAATGGCTTTGTTGCAGTCACTCTTATATGTGTGTCAACGCAAGAGCAGGAGATACAATCAGCTGCTTCCGACTGGACTCAACTGCCGTACCGGAAAAGCTCTGAAGCTGCTTTTTAATCTATATATAAGCAGCTACCTTATTATTTGTCTATTTATTAAAATATAAGTGTACAAAGTGTGTCTGCTACCCTACTTGTAACATTTGATTAAACAACCAGTCAACCACCCATGTATCGCTAACCCACCGCCCGTCCCCACTCCAGCCCATATCTTCTTATTTCTTTGGCTATGCTAATGCAATGCTTCTCTTGCTTTAAAAACTGTCTTGCTTGTATTCTGGAGCACCTATTAAAGTATTGCTTGTAGGTTTTGCTATATAAAAAAAAAAAGCTTACCTTTTGCCTTATGGACCTCTTTGGGATTCCATCACTTAAGATTGCGTTTTAAATTTTCTTTTTCATTGTGCTTTATTAGGTCACGTTTAAGCCCCCGACATTTTTTTTCTTGTATCTTTTCTACTTTTTAAATAAAATTTAGCAAATATTCCCGGCATCTGTCCCACCGACTTAGGTAGTTGTCGTACATGGTTAAAAAAAATGTTCACACAATGCTTATTTTAAACTACTTCCAATTAGAATTGAACGCTTTTTAACTTCCTATAAATGTTAACATGGGAAATGCTAGAAAATCATTTAAAATCAATATATATGTTGGGAATTTTCCGTTGATAAATTGTATTAGGCACTTATATAATCGCACATCGCGCGTGTAGAAACTAGTTGACTTGACAAAGGATAAAGAAAGCAAAAATTGTATGACCGAAAAATGTGCACGTGACAAAACGATAATACGAATTACTAATAGTTGAACAAAAACATGAGATTATATTGAGACAGGTGCAAAAATGTGCAATGTATCTAGACAATGTCTCTTTTTAGCATTAAGTACAATATCATGTTTTCAAAATCTTTTAGACCAAAAAGATTACTAAAAGATTTAAGAATATAAGTTTTCAGATAGTTTTGATGAAATGTATATACTAGCTTCTATTTTAAATATGAAATGTATCTAGACGATGTCTCTTTTTAGCATTAAGTATAATATCTAGACGTATTTTCTTATAGATTATAGACTAGCATTTATTTTAAATTTTCAAGGCATGGGACCACAATTTGCAATTGTTGGGCAGTAAGGTTGAAAAGGGGGAACTAGAAGCTGTTCTCTTCGCCTGATCTGAATGTTTCTGATCTGAATTTTTTAAGTTCTGATCTGATCTGATCTGAATTTTTCTGATCTGATCTGATCTGATCTGAATCTTTCTGATCTGATCTGATCTGATCTGAATCTTTCTGATCTGATCTGATCTGATCTGAATCTTTCTGATCTGATCTGAATGTTTCTGATCTGGTCTGATCTGATCTGAATGTTTCTGATCTGATCTGAATCCTTCTGATCTGATCTGAATCTTTCTGATCTGATCTGATTCGAATATTTCTATGATTATAATTATAATTATAATTATAATTATTATTATAATTGCAATTACAAATATAATTTAAATAAAATTATAATTATAATTGTAATTATAATTACAATATTTATCTCTATAATTGTAACTATAGTTATCAATATTATTATAATTACTCCATAAAATAATTACAATGGTAATAATAATAATAATATTAATATTAATTATAATAAAAATAATAATTATAATCATAAATTATTATTATAATATAATTATAAGTATAATTATAATTATTATAATTATAATTAATAATAATTATAATTATATTAACATTAATTATAATATTATAATATAATAATAGTAATATAAATACAATTAATATTATTATAACGATATTATTATATTAATATTATTATTACAATAATATAATAATAATATGATTATTATTATAATTAGTATTATATTATTATAATATTATATTATATTTATAATTATAATCATAATTATAATTATGATTGTAATTATAATTATAATTAATTACAATTATAAATATATTTAATTATAGATATAATTATAATAATTACAATTGATTATACTTATAATTATAAGAATTATAATTGTAATTATAATTATAATTACATATAATTATAATAATATTAATCATATTATTATTATTATAATGTTGTCATAATAATAGTCTTCTTAACAATTGCATTTATATTACTATTATTATATTAAAAAATTATAACTATTATTAATATCTTTTTTTATCATATTATTATTAATATTATTAATAATAATTATATAATAATAATCATTATAGTAATAACAATAATAATAATAATAATAATAATAATAATAATAATAATAATAATAATAATAATAATAATAATAATAATAATAATAATAATAATAATTAATATTTAATATAATAATAAAAGTGAAAAATCATGTTTGAACTTTTCTGATCTGATCTGATCTGATCTGAATGTTTCTGATCTGATCTGAATGCTTCTGATCTGGTCTGATCTGATCTGAATGTTTCTGATCTGATCTGAATGCTTCTGATCTGATCTGATCTGATCTGAATCTTTCTGATCTGATCTGATCTGATCTGAATTTTTCTGATCTGATCTGATCTGATCTGAATTTTTCTGATCTGATCTGATCTGATCTGAATAAAATAAGAATAAGCAATAAGTAATAAGAATAAGACGAACAGAACAGCACCTAAGTAAGCAAGGCCATAGTCTTGTAGGGCAGCAAAAGTGACAAGGGAGATACTTGCAGAACCAGCAAACATAGCAAACATTTATAACTTATAAGCTAATACCAATCAACAAAGAATTCACACTAATGGACCCAATCCACTTAAGCCACGTTACTTATTCCACTTGTGTACCAACATTTCCATTGATCAATGGCAATTGGTTAATAACTGTGACAAAAATTGTGATTAATCTGAGAGAATGAGAATAAGGTGGCATAAGAAATATGGTAACACAGGATTTCATCACTGTTGAAACTAGCAAGTACGTATCAAATAAGATATACGGAGAATTGATCAATTAGAAAAACTCCATAGCTTTGGTTTTATAAGAACGGGGATAAAAGAAATTAATTGAAGCTTAAAAGATTCTGCTAGCGGGTCACACATAGCTAAAAGGAACTAGTAAGCATGGCCATATCCTTGCAGGAAAGCATAAAGGGACCAGCCTGAGACTTGCAGAACCTGCAATCATTAAAAAGGTAGTACTAATGAACACAGAATCCACAAGAAGATGCTCAAAGAGAGTGCGAGGGTTAAAGATGTAGAGAAACTGGGGTGCAAACAATACCTATAGATATGCAGCTCCAGTAAAACACCTGCAATGAGCCCCAGAAATGTTGAACTTCTGTTGGTTCTTGCGGTTAATGCTTAAGAATGTCATTTCGGTAGGCCGATCGAGGGATTCGATGGGTGGCACTTGAGCAGCTAGTACCTTAACTGAGAAGGTTGATACAAGAAGATAATAGTCACCTGTTTTGAATTCCTTAGCTGTCAGCAGGCCAAAGTAGTCACCATTCCCTATCTCAACAAATGTGCACCCCATCATGTCCCCTCCAAATCCTTCCAAGTCGAAGATCCCGTTCACATGTTGATAACAGGAGAATCCTTTTCCTTCTGTGAAAATACCAGCTCGAATTTCTCTGTAGGACAAAAACATCGACACAATGTACAAATGGGACTACTTGTGTTTTATTCCCAAAATAGGACTTGGTTGGTCCTATTAAAAGTATAAAACTTCCTCATTTAGTAGTTAGAGAGTCATATTCTAGGGAGAAAACAATAATCCTATTTATGCACTTCGTGTAAGTCTTATGCACTTTCTCAATCTAAAAATCACAAGAAAAAATGTTGTAGAAAAACGATTTGTTTGAAAGCAACATAATAAAATTGTTTGATTGACGAAATATAAAAAGTGACCTTGAGCTTGATCACTATACTCCTTGTAGCTGTTAATAATTTTTCGGGTTTATAAAGTATGAAGTATTTTTTGGGTGTGTCTCGAAAAACGAAGAAAAATTAATTAATAAAATTAATTAAATGACTAAAGCAAAACAAGAAAAAGATGGAGCAGAAAATAGTCAGAGCTCGTGCTACGCACGATGTCCTTTGTAAGGGGTTCTCAAAATCACTTGGGTTTTCCGGTGTGGGATAATCATTCTAGAAACTCATCATTTTCCTGGGTTTTCCATTTTAACGAGTGAACTTCGAGAATCAATTTCTTATTCAATTGTTATCCATTTTGAGGGTCCCACACTAGGACAATCCGAAACCACTTTGACTCGACTCACATTGGAAGTGGACCCCACTCAAAATATTGCCCGAAATTGACCACTTAAGACAATTTTTAACACATTTTTCCAATAGTATTAATAGTCCATATGTATTATATATAAAAAATACATTTTTTTTAGTTTCTTAATTAAATCGGTTTTCTTCGGTCTGGGTCGGGCTTAAAACTATGAACCCGAATAAAGACCCTAGTTTTCGAGCTCGGGTCGGGTATTTTTACCCGGTTCAGTCATTCTTAAAATAAAACCCAGACCATTGTCATTTATCGGGTTGGATCGATTCGGTTATCGGATTTTTTGTTGGTTTTTCTCACCCCTAATTTATAAGAGACCAATATGGCATATCGAAATTTAAAAAAAGAACTTACGATTCATTAAGTAACCTATTAATAATTGTGTTTAAAATTACATTTAAGGGATTATAAGAGTGTACTCATAACCAATTTAATCAATTTTATTTCACAAATATCTATTGGAGATGTTCTTCCTTATAGTTACTTTGATACGGAGTATAAAATTAAAATATAATTATAACCATAAAAAATTAATATTTCTAAAAAAACAATTAAAAGTTAATAAGTCACATTTTATCCACTATACTTATTTGAGTCATAGCTATCGATTATTTCTTTACTTAATACATGATGATCGATATCATAGTTGAAAAATAGGAACATGTTTAATATATATTCAAAAAACCTTTTGTATGCAATATATTACTGTCGTATGAAACGTCATAAGAATTACGAAGTATGAATTTTAGAATATTTTGTAAAAGTCAGAGTTAAAATGTAAAGTTTATAATACTTTGAATAAAAATTGATTTTTAAAATAAGTATAATGGGTTAAAATATGATTTATAGACATTTAGTGACTATAATATATATAAAAAACTAGCCCTAATATAATAAAAAAAGCTTATGTGCTCATTTTTCATTTTAAATTACATGTCGTTTGGTGACACTCTTTTTGGATTTATGAACCTTATTAATCAAATTTTTCATCTAATATTTAAATTTTGATTTTACACGTTGGATTCTGTAATAATCAAAATAAGAAAGGTTGAAGTTGCTTTTTGGGAAAAGTACGGAAAACGTACTTGTAGCAGGGGCCGTGTTCAGATAGGGTCATATGTTTCATCCTTTATCAAAGTGGTTCATGTTTGAATTCCGTTATCACAAGAGGGTCACACCGTTAAAAAGGTCTGAAAAAACCGTTAAAAGTAACTACGGTTTTCAAAATTGCCCGAAAAATTAAAAGAAAAATAACGAAAGGTGCGCCTCATCAAGATGACCTCCAAACCACCTTCGCCTTTGGATTTTTTAGATCTGTTTGAATTATTTTTTAAAAGTGATTTCGCGAATATCACTTTTCCGGTAGACTTTCTGGTGACAAGGGTGGCTGAAAACAAAAAAGAAAGATGGTCTAGCAATCGTCTTATTGAGGCGTCCTTCCGGTGTTTTTCTTTTATTTTTTCGGGCACTTTTGAAAATCAATTTAACTTTTAACGGTCTTTTTCAGACGTTTTTAACGGTGTGACCCTCTTGTGATAGCGGAATTCAAACACATGAACCACTTTGATAAAGAATGAAACATGTGACCCTATCTGAAAACGAGCCAAACCACAAGTATCTTTTCTGTACTTTTCCCTTACTTTTTTGCCTGAATTGAATGAAGTTGTTGTAAATGAAATATAATTTAAATATATGCTACTTTTTTGTTTAACTTTATTTATTTTATAAGTAAAATATAATCTAAATTTAATTTTTCAATAATTCAGTGGATTCAACCAGTGCGACAGTTTCAGCAAGAATTTTATCAGTTTCAGTAGATTAAGCTAATTTATGTTACCAAACATACTCTAAATAATTTATGTGCTAAATATTCGAGGTTATTGCCCATGTAAAATAGATCTAACGGTTTTAAAATGTCACACGGTGTGATGAAGTTACTCAATGAGAGTTATACACGGCATGAGCAGTAATATATATAAAGGCATACAATTGGTGGGGGCGAGGTCGCGAGGGTATAAAAATCTCCATTTTCTTTAAAGTGTTATAACTTTTTCATTTTCTCTCTAATTTCTACTACCTCCGTCCCCGAAACAACTTCTCACTTTCCTTATTTGGATGTCCCTAATTTAACTTCTCATTTCCTTAAATGGAAAGTTATCTACGTCAAAACAGTGTCAAACAGTGTCAAATAGTGTCAAAACAGTAAAATTTATCCCTTGATAAGTTTATTTTCTTAATACTCCGTATGTGTGTAGGTCAAACCGAGAAGTTCTTTCGGCGACGGAGGGACGAGGGAGCATAAAATATATATCAAAATTTATAATCTATTTATATATAGGAAAATAGATAGCTCAATCAAAGACTATTCTACCCTTTATGAAACATACACGTATATCTCTCTATCCTATTTTCTCTCCTCTCATACCCTACTGCCACGTGTATTCTTCTTTTTAGCCTATGTTGCTCACAAAGAAAAAACGGTGTTGCTCAACAACACAAAAACGGCTCTTTCCATGTTTATTATCTTCTCCATAAAGGTAATAAACATGGGGTTGTTACCTTTAATCAACCTAGAATATTATAGGGCTTTGTTATCTCAACTATTATGAGATAGTTGGGTTTTCTCTCCTCTCATCCCTAGAATCGGGAGAGTTGCAAAGTTTATAGTTGGAAAAGGAGAATGGAGATGTGAAGCTTACTCCATGTGTTCTAGAAAGTAGAAAGCTGAAACGCAGATTAATTACTTCACATGCAAATGTGATAAATATAATTACAAGCATACTCTAAGTTTTTTGTTAGCTGGATAAATATGTCAATTCTATTATTATTTTTGTCTGGTATGATTTGCCAATGTTGAAATAATGCTAATGTTGGAAGATATCTCCCATGTGAGATTTTAGGATAAGAACATAAGCTTGCACAAAGCTGAACCACACAATTTTTACTTTATTATTTTTCGTGCCGGTCAAACTTGACAAAGTTTTAAGGAACGGAGGTAGTATAAGATAAGTCGGCTAAAATATTAGCGGGGAAAATTTTCTTTTTCAAATGTAGTACGCTTAGGTATTATTATAGGAGATAAGCTTGCCTACAATTGAACGAGAAAACTTTTCACTCATATGTAGTTCTTTTAAGTAAAAGATAAGTCGGTTAACAATTGAGGAGACAAATTTAACTTTATCTCTCATATGTAGTGCTTTTAGATATAAGTGTATAAGATAAGCCGATAAACAATTGAGCGGAATAATTTTCTCTCTCATATGTAGTGGTTTTAGGAATACGAAGATAAGCGTGATAATAATTGATTGGCAGAAACTTCCCTATCATATGTAGTGTTTTTAGGTTTTAGAATATAAGCTTGAGAACAAATGAGCAGGGGAATTAAGCGAGATGATTTTTTCTCTCTTATGTAGTGTTTTTATGTATTAGAAGATAATATTGCTAACAATTGAGCGGAATAATTTTCTCTCATATGTACTGCTTTTGGGTATAAGATAAATCGGCTAACAATTGAGCAGGAGAATTTTCCTTTTCATATGTAATGGTTTTACCGTTTTAGGAATAAGAAAACTCGCTAATAATTGAGCAGAGAAATTCCGTTGTCATATTTAGTGTTTTTAGGTATTAGAAGATAAGTTTGTTGACAATTGAGTTGGGAATTGAGCTGAATAATTTTTTCTCTCATATGTAATGTTTTTATGTATTAGAAGATAATCTTGCTAACAATTGAGCGGATTAATTTTTTTCCTCATATGTAGTTGTATCTCATATGTTAGCACTAATTTAACTAATACTTGGCAAGTTCGTATTTAACTAATATTTGTTAATTTTAATATTTATTGTATTCGCTTAAACTTTATGTCATTCACTTATTGTACTTGTTGAGGTTTAGTCTCGTAGGTCCGAAAGCCCAACACACGCTTTGGATATTAAGGATGTATGTTTGGGTCTAAAAGGTGTATAAAATATAATACAGTGGATTAAGGAATGAACTCAGAAGCTGGAACTTGTATTAAGTAATTCTGTGATTACACTGAAACTACTCTAACGGCACGTCAGACTAGTGTCTAATACAAGAACAAGAGAGATAATTCTATTGCTAAGCTCTGAGTATCAAAATGCTAACCTTTTACAATGTATTCAATGGAGGTATTTATACTAAGAGGGGGTAGGTGGGATGGTGACGTGACTGAACTCGGTTGGCTGTTGTCTCTGCCGCCTCTGCTACCATGTCTTCACTTGCTACCGCCATACTTCAGCATTAAATGCGGTTGCCACTTGCCGGCTACCCGGTCGGGGAGCTCGTT